AAAAACCGTAATTGCAATGATCTCTTCACAGTTATGTGGTTTACATCTAAGAAAACAAAGAAACCAGGAAACCTCTCGGTTCAGTCGGCGTGGGCACGAAGGCGGAAACATTCCTGCATACTTGCGTAGTGAGAGCTACATGCTTCTTAGAAAACTAGGTGGCAAACATCAGGCAGCAGTTTTTGTTGTACAACCAGCTGTACAGTTTTTCCTTACATCGTTTCTCATAATGCTTTCATTTCATTGTTTCCGTGTTCTCTGGCTCCTCCTGGAGTGTGGGAGCAGGTATGTAGACAGTAATTATGGTCTTGGTACTAATTAGCATTTTAAGCCAAAAATAAGTAAAATTAAATGTGACAAAGTTCTGTTGTAATTAATTACCATCCTCCCTTCTTTGATATAGAGCTATTTGGACTGAATGCTATTTAGAGGTATTTAATACAGTTAGACACAACAACAACAACAACAAAAATCATTATTATTATTATTGTTTTTCTTCAGCTAATTTATTATAGCTGAAATGTAAAGTTTAGTGGTTCAAATTAAAACCATGTATTTATGGAGCTGAACAGGGTAAATCCACTGATGTTCTGAAGATCTCCACGGGAGAAATGTTGGTTTTGTATGAGCACAGCATTTCAGTTGACATCAGATTTCTGTGATGCTTCAAAATAGAAAAGTATGAAAAGCATTTAAAAGGATTCTTCTTCTTCACTACTCACTGGTTTATTTTCTTTAGTTTTAGTTCATTTTTAAAAATTAATAATGCCTAACAATAAATCGCTGTTACTTTTTTTCTCCAGTAGGGGGTGCTGAAGTGACACTTTTTTACACATTGAGAAAAATAATCTTACAGTACAACATGACAACTAAATCATGGCCTGAATATTTTCTATGAAAGAGTAAAACAACCTGTATCACACCTGCAGAAATGACCTTTTTCAGTATACAGTGTCTGCTTTACAGCACTGCAGTCAGACAAAGGGAATCTAACACAGGATTATATCCTACAGGTTAGACATTATACTGAGTCAGTAACGTTCTCCACATTAAACTGAAAAGGGCATTTCTATAGCTTTACCTCTTCAGCACCTGGTCAAGAGAACCCAGGCCAAGGCTAACATCACCTCCACAGTTCTACAATATGAATGACATTCTGCCAAACACTCACCAAGCCTTAGACAGCGTCTGTGAAATATTATAGAAACATTTCCTTTTTTGTGGTTCTTTTTATTCTTATTCACCCAACCATTTTTGGGACAGCCGACCTCTTTGAACAGTTTAATTACATGAACACTGTGAGCAGTTGTTGATTAACTTTACCTTACTATGTCACAAAAATGTATTTAGATGAAGGGTGTGTTGTTTTTCACAGTGAACACGCTAAGCTGGCGTTAGTAATAAAACCAGCTGGGTCAGATTTCACCATCGCTGTTCACTCTGTTTGAACACTCAGGTAGTGTAGCATGAAAATGAGCAGGATCATGGCTGGGATCAAATGTGTCGTGTTTTTGATGGTCCTGATTCTCCAGTGGACTCATGCAAGAGGAGGTGAGTGAGATGTTCTCTACACCTATTACGTTATTCTAGTATAAATGCAAATCAATGTCATGTTGTTTAGAAAGCCAAATACAGGAGGAAATGTAATAAAGACAGAGACTCTGAGTCAAACTTAAAAGCTTCCAGGGCAAAACTCTCAGATGTAAATCTCAGAAAGGTGTGTAGAGAAACCTTGTTCTTTCTCTTTATTTTTTATTGTCATTATTCAGTGAAGCAGGACTATGGTTTAAACAATGTTTGACTGCACAATAGTGAGTTTGTTCAAAGTGTCAGCAGTGAGGATTTCATTAAACATACACAAAGACAAAATATATAATTATCAAACCCTCAGTGTAACTGTGTGAAGTTTATAATCAAAGGAAAAGTGTAATATAAATAACAAGGTACAAAAACAATTTCAAGTCAGGTTAAATGTCCCTTCAATCTGTGACTGTAACATATGAACATGTGTTTATTAATTAACAGCAAAAAGAAAAGTAGCAGGGCCTGGTCTGTGGATTTATGTATATATATATAAAATGCCATTTAAGAAAGCATGTTTACTGCACGTTTCTTACTTCCTATCTCTCATCGAAAAAAAAAAATGCCCAAACTTCCAGGAAATGTAATTATTGGAAATGGACTGGAGTGCGTGGGAGTGGAGGCGGGAATTTCACAAACTATACTCGTAGTATACAAACTATGAGATTGGTTCTGTAAAATGGGAAGGTGGTTTAAACTGTGTTTGGATGTAGGCAGTGAGTTTGTGCTCACTGACAGGTCAGTGAAACATATTGGCTGAAGGAGAACCCAAATGTTGGACTTTTACAATGGAGAAAGTGTGGTTTTTTTTTTTAACAGAAGAAAAAGAAAAACAGTGCCAACAATCCAGTTTGTGCTCTCCCAATTCCCCATGCCGTGATTCCTCTCTGTGATGTGTGGTAATGTTTAGTCCTCCTCGGTGCATGTGTTTAACAGTGTGCTGCTCCCTCCACACGTTTCCGTAATCACCCTGACAACAAGAGATGCCATAATGAGTACCGTCCTAGCCACCGGCCGACAAAACACATTAACCATTCCAATGCGACTATGTGAGCTGAGCACTATCTGAATTCCAAGTTTAACAATCCCACACTGACTGCTGCTCCACTGCTCTCTTAAGTAGAGCTCCTTGATTAAGCAGATCAGCAAAATGTGAGTGATTATCCCAGGTGTGGGTGGCTCCAAGGCAGGGACTCTCCAGCCTGGTGGGGCAACAAAACTGACACAACAACACACACGGTGAAACGAGGGACCAGGAGAAGATCACACCACAAACAACCATAAAGGATTAAGAAAGACGAATGAAACTCTTAATATTCATTAAACTCAAAAATAACACGTGATCTCAGGGTCACCCAGGTCCATGACATATTCTTTAAGTAATCCAGAGTGTAAAGAGCAGGAAATAGAGTTTGTAGTACAGCCAGCTGTCAGTGTTTGAGATTTTAAACCTATGAACACAAAAGCAACAAAACATATTTTATTTTGTCGCCTGTGTTATTTTTCTCATCTCATAGCTTTTTTTCTGTTTCCATTCATGAATTAATCTAAATGATTTAATTTATTATAATGTTAAAGGCTGGAAAACATGCACATATGACAAATTTATGTTTTTCTAAATTATGTTGAATAAAGACAGAGGGTGCAAAACTCGGACTGGAGTTTTAAAACATCTAAACTCTATAGATAATCAACAGTAGCTAGAACTCGCATAATGCAATAAATCTGTGATTTAACATTACAAGAATAATAAGACCTGCAGCAGGGATTAAAATTCACCCTACAAAGAATCTCAGCTTTAAACTTGAAAATAAATGGAAACCTAAACAGAAACTCAAATATACTAACACAAAACTGCAGATTCATGACAATGTGAAACAGTATGTGTTTCACTTTACTTATACTTCAATACTCATTCAATACTAGAAAACTGGAAATGTTTACGTTTTCAGCCTAATCCAATCTTTTACAGTGGCATGTTCTCACAAACATAAAAAACTTGATGAATAAATGAAATAACTTAGCAAAGGGTCAAATAAAGCAGCAGATACAGTATATATTTATCAAAAACAGTTGTCATGCCTGCTTTGAAAATTGTGTCATTAATGTTTTTAAGTTCTCTGCACAGCACAGAAAAAGATGACATTTGATGAATATCAGGAAATCATTTAATCAAAGTCGCCACACCGGAGCTGCATATTTGGGTTAAATTTTCCTGAACTGGAGCAGAAAAGTGTTAAAAGGCTTTATTAAGAGAGAGAAAAGTTTTTAATTCTGCAACATCAGAGGGCTGAACGCTGATGATGTGTCTCTACCTGTTGTTGCAGATGCTGAAGTGTTCTGCATTTTCATGGAAAGCTGCATGTTACCGTGCAGCTATAGTGGCAGTGATGTAGTCATCAACTGGTTTCAGGTATCAGCAGGAGACCTTAATGTCCACTCATTCTACAACAACAAAGACCAGCTCAAACTCCAGAGTGAGCGCTTCAGAGGCAGGACGTCACTGTTCAACGACCAGATCTCCGCAGGAATCGCCTCACTGCAGCTGACAAAGGTGGAGGTTCAGGATGAAGGCAGATACAAGTGCTACACCAGCACTGACAGAGGAAACCAAGAATCATTTATTAACCTAAAGATAAAAGGTAAACAACAATATATATATATATATTTATTCAAGAAATTTCTCTGTTTTGTGTTTTGTTTTGTTTTGCTTTGTTTTGTTTTGTTTTGTTTTGTTTTGAGAGATGCAGGTGTGGAACCTGCAAGAGAAACAGACCCAAGATGGAAAAACACTGAACACTCGAATCATGACAGCACCCTCCCCTCAAAGATCACTTCCTGCTTACAGAGCCGACTGTGAACCCAGGAGCTTTCCTCGGAGACATTGGACTCGAGGGGACAAGTTTGACCTTCAAGACACGAAATGGGATGGATGTGCACTGATCGTGGTAGCTTGAGCCTCATTGTAGAGGGGCTGATGACAGTCTTGTCTTCAAAAAGTCCAATAGAATGAGGAGCGAGCGAGACAATGATTTGAATGAATATCTTTTGCAGTATGCCAGGATCATACTTGGGAGCGTGTATCTGGAAGCAGCATAGTGATGTTGCCGCACTTACTGGTTTCAGGTCCATCAACTGTGTCACATGTGATGCTGGACTCTATTTTTAAGAGAGAGGTTGGAGCCAAATGACTTTTTCTGTTTCTTTCAGGTTCACGTAATTCAGGAGCTATTTTAGGAGGAGTGATTGCAGCCATCGTGATTACAGGAGTAGTAGCAGCAGTAGGCTTCATGCTTTATAAACGCAGAAAAGGTAAATGACTTTCTCCCTTCACTTTGCAGTTCAATTTGTTTATGTTTTTTCTACTGAGTGTGATTTTTTTTGTCCGACCCCAATCCCTCAGAGCAACAAGAACCACAAAGTACAGTCAGTGATTCTGCATACGTGAGTAAATGTTTTATGAACTACACTCTGAAAACTTGTTTGAAAACAGTGTTATGGTCTTGAAGATAAAACCAGATGTCTAGCAGCGTTCAGTAACATCCATGACATGAAAAACAGAGAATCAGATGAAGCACATTCAGATGGATGTGGTGTTTATTTGTTTATTTTTGAACTGAACACGCTGTTTTCCATTCATAATGATATGTTTTCAAGCTATCTTTTTTTATCTTGTTAACAGTAACACTGAACTTGTGCCGATGGCAAAGGGAAGGTCTACCATGAATGGTGAAACACCTGACACCACCCAAGCAGACCCAAGCAGCTCTGCTTCAGTACTGAACTCTCTTAATGTGTTGACTCTCTGTTTATTAAGCACAAACATTCATAAGTGAAAAACCTGCTAAAGACGCCTTCAAATGAGTTTCTTGGAGCCATAGAAACTCATACGTGCACTGAGGAGCAAGAACACTGAGACATTAATTTCCTTATTTTCTCCATTTTGTTTGCGTCATATCCTAATGCTTGATTTTATCAAAGAACAGTTTTTATTTTACAATCATAACCTAAATATTTTGATATGCCTCCCTGCTTCATCTTGGACCCTTGAGCATCGGGTGTGCAACAGAATAAATCTAAGGAGAAGAAATGAGCCTGACTCACAGAGGCAGCTTTGATTTAGAATAGAATAGCCTTTATTGTCATTGTACAAAGTACAACGAAATTGGAGTGCCACTCCCTTGGTGCAAAATGCAAAATAAATATAAATGTAAAATATAAAAAGTACAATATTTGTCTGTGAAAACTGCTGATAAGTTGAGTTTAGCTACTAACTCAGGGGTCGGCAACCCGTGGCTCTGGAGCCATGTGCAGACCTTTCACCTTTACATTGCAGCTCCCTATGACGTCCTTTGACGTCAAGGACAAGAATCAATGTCTTTGTTTTTTCCCATGATGGTGGAGATGTTGGAAAATTCTGTGGACAGGTGTGCTTTATACATATAAGGAGTTAGGATCAGGAGTATTTATAAGTGACTGGGCTCAAAATCAGGAAGAGAAAATGTGCTTGTTGTTGTGTTATTCATTTATTTTCATTTTTTAAACATGACAATATTTATTTGATATGATGTAGATAAATGTTGTTACATTTTTTTTTAGATATTTTTGTTAAATATTTTTACAAAAATATTTATTTAATAATTTTTAAAGTATAACACTAGTCTTTGTGGGGGGCGGGGGTCAAAGGACTCTAGTTGAGCATACTAATGCTAATAATTGAAAAAATATTAGATTGTCTGGTCTCTCTGTACATGTAATTATAAACTCATTATGCAGCTCTTTTGATCTGCTCTTGAAAGATTTTTAACTCGAGTAACTTAAAGGGATGTAAATTTTAAACTTAAATCATCGTTATGCAAAATCTCAAACTGATTTTCAGACATGAGTGATTCTTGGTGAAATGTTGGCATTTCTGTGATGCTTCAAAATAGAAAAGTATGAGAAACATTTAATTAGATTAGATCTTCTTTGTCATTTATTGGTTATAATTTCTTAAGTTTTAGTTCATTTTTTTAAAAATAAAAAATAAAGAATATCTAACAATAAATCACTGTTACCTTTTGTTCTCCACCAGGGAGAAAGTGAAACTTTTTCACAATCTGATAAAATGATCTCTGATATTAGTCTGTGAAGGTGTTTCGAAATAATGTAAATCTTACAGAACAAAATGACAACTAAAACATGGCCTGACTAAAACAACCTCAGAGGGAATTCTCTTCCTCCTGTATCACACTTGTACAAATGACCTTTTTCAGTATACAGTGTCTGCTTTAAAGCACAGCAGTCAGATTTAGACAAGAAGAATCTAAAACAGGATTTTATCCTACAGGTGAGACATTACACCGAGTCAGTAACGTGCTCAACATTAAACTGAAAAAGGCATTTCTATGACTTACCTCTTCAGCACCTGGTCAGGAGAACCCAGGCAAAGACCAAGGCTAACATCACCTCCACAGTTCTACATATGAATGAAAATGTCTGTTTTCTGCACCAAGATGTTCTGCCAAACACTCACCAAGCCTTAGACAGTATCTGTGAAATATTACAGAAATATTTCTCTTTTTTGTTCTTTTTGTTGATTAACTTTCCCTTAGTGTGTCATAAAAAAGTATAGATGAAGGGTGTGACATTTTTCACAGTGATATGCTAACCTGCTGTTAGCAACCAAACAAGCTGGGTCAGATTTCACCATTGCTGTTTACTTTCTGAACACTAACGTAGCTTGAAACGGAGCAGGATCATGGCTGGGATCAAATGTGTTGTGTTTTTGGTGGTCCTGATTTTCCAGTGGACTCATGCAAGAGGAGGTGAGTGAGATGTTCTCTACACATGCTACCTTATTCCAGTATATTCCAGTATAAATCATGGATATGTGATTTAGAAAACCAAACAACTCAGCGACTCTGAGTCAAACTTAAAAGCTCTCAGGGCAAAACTCTCAGATCTAAATCTCAGAAATTATTGGTGTGTAGAGAAACCTGTTTTTCATTTTCTTCTTTTTTTTTAAT